TGACTACTGCAAATGTAATTTGAAAATATCTAGAGTTCTGCTTCACTCTAGTCCTCCAAAGGGGAACCTCAAGGGGCAAATAAAGAGAGTATCTACCAGAGACTGCCACGATTCAACATGTATATTAGAATTATATGGTGAAAATTTTCCTCATTTTGTAGGTACAAATCTGGGAAAACATTCAACAATAAATTAGGCCACTGCATATGAATAAATAAACTGGCATGGTATAGAAAGAGAAATAATTTGGACTTTGGAGTTAGATATTTTAACTCCAATAATTATTGCATCACCTGGTAGCTGACTGACCTTGGGCTAGACAAGTGGCCTGAATCTCAGTTTCTTCTATATGTCAAATAGTGACAATGCCTTTCTTTATGGGGCTGCTCTAAGACTTTGAAAATTATATGAAAAGGATCTACCCAATTCATGGCCTAGGGGAGAGACTCACTATACTTTATCATTGCTGTTTGTAGGCTCTTTTAGCTGTTGGAGTCATCATACTGCATGCTGATGTCAGAGCCCTTTGTTGCAGGGTATTTACTAAACCAAATTTATACTCATTATATTGATCATCAGTTGGTAATTTCTACTCATATGTTTATCACTATACAGCAAAGAAACAAACTTATTTAATACATTACTGTAGTATAGCAAGTTGTATTATCACATCTATTTACAGACTTGGAAGAGTTAAGAGTAATGTGATTTCAGTCATTTGGCCAAATTCTTAAGGGTACTAAAATTTCAGAATGGTTCTTCTAAAGATATGTTACAAAGAACTGTGACATCTTCCATTCCATCATTAGTGTATCTTTTGGAATAATCCCAGGTGCTTAATACAAGGTCTATATCTTCTTCACATTGTTTACTTATTACCTGGTGGGGGGAGGGAGGTAGTTTGCTAAGAGTGGTCAATTCAGGGATCCAGTCTGAGAGAGCAGCAAATCAACACTTCAAACATTATCAGTCCCAGTGCCACAGGGAAAGACCGAAATCTGGAGGATGTTGCACTGCACACATTTGCATGCTCAAAGAGGTAATATTCATCAATTTCACACAACTCACTCGCCCCACCCCACCCCAATTATCAAATGTGCGATTCTACTTTGCAACAGGAAGGAAGAGACTTGGAAAGTTCTGGTGAACACTATCAATGACTCCTCCAATTAGGAAGCAGAACTGTAGGAGCTGCAGAGCTCAAGTTAGCAATATGGCACTGCTTCCTGGAAAATGCAGACAATTCCACAATACAATGGGTAAATGCTCAAATGATATCTGGAACCCAAAGAGATAGCTGCATACCTACAGGTATATCCTACATACAGTAGTAAGCAGACTACTAAAACATATAGCCCAAAAAATCAGTTCACATCATGAACAAAATAAACCCCTACATTTTACCACAAGAGCATCACAGCATCAGAGGTGAACTACCTACCTACTTTTCTTGGCAACATGAAAAATTAGAAAAGTGTAGGCCAAGCAATTATTGGTTGGAGTACATTTCTTATGTCCAAGAAAAATTATAATGACTCTATATAACCAATAAGATAGATGATCAACTTCAACATACTAGAAATATTAAGATCAAATTATATAGCAGCTTTACCAGCAATACCTATATATTATGCATAATGCTGAACGACAGGAGTGACCTTAAAGCTGTGTTCAGTGAAACAGATCATTACTGGGTTTGACATGTGAACGTATGGCAGTAAGCATAATCTCCAGGCAAACCTAAGTGAAAGACTAATCAAAGAAGTAGAAGGCAACAGGAAACAACAAGCCATAAACACAGTTATATTACTACACTAGTAGAGATAAAGCTGACAAAACTCTGATGCCTCAAGCTGAGAAAATTTAGTCAATGGTTCTTACTCTCTGGCCTGCACATTATATTAATCTGACAGACTTAAAATTACTGAGGCCTGGCCCTACTCCAGGAGATTCTGATTTAACTGATCCACTAGCCTAGAGCCTGCAGGCATTACCATGTTCTTGTTGGTGTTGTCATTTTGTCGTTATTTTGTAAAGCTTTCTAATGCATAGCCAGGCTCAAGAAATGCTAAACTAAGTCATGTAATCTATCAAGCTAAAAAATAAACTTGCAAGTAATGGGTTCTTCAGACAGGTATCTGCTAAATATAAAAGAACAGCATTTGTGCTAGTGGGGAAAAATTATTTTCCATGCATTAACACTTAAAAAAATAGCCATTCAGCACATGTTCACATCTATTTTCTTTAAAGGGAGATTTCACCTGTCTTTATAGCTACTGATTTTATAGTAAATGAAAAAATAAAATGTATTCATAAACTAATATAAATCACAAGTACACAACTAAATATCACATTCAACTTTTTTTCTAAAGTATATCCCAGTGTATCTATGAGAAATTTTATTGTGTAAAACCTTATCATCTGTACCAATCAATAGACAGTGACAGCTCTGTTGTGCATTCAACAATGAAATTAGTAAGTCGGTGGTCCCATAAATATATCAACAAGGGGAAAGTGACTATTCAAAAAAAAAAAAAAAAGCTTGGCAAACACAAATTAGAAGTTAAAATTTTCATAATCTAACACTAAAAAGATATTTTATTTTCTCATAAATGCATATACTATCTTTCTAGGATAACATATTTCTCTCCCACCTTAACATATATACTGTAAAATATTCATAGTCCATATGCAGCAAAAACGCTAAAAGTTAATCACCTGGTAAACTAAACTTGCACAAATTAGAGGATAAAATGATATTGAAATAAGGTATGAAGTAAGATTTAGTTGATTAAAGCAGTGAAAGTTATAAATGCCTATCATTCTTTGCTGGTTTTAGAAAAAGAGATCAGACCTGTGCAATATGCATCCCACCTCCTCTTCTAGAGGAATCTTTAAGAAAGTCCACATTGTCTACTATGCATTAATTTTTGTGTGAGTAATCTTTTTTCATGGGGGAAAGGGATGTGAACTTAATATCCAGATCAATGTACTACAGTGTAGAGAAAGCATTTGAGGATATGAGAGCCCTGGTGCAGAGAGGACCACTAGAAGATTAAATTTTGGGTAAGTCTAGGCAAGAGAACAATAGGCTGGGGTTACTACTATTTCCATCTCTCAGGTACAGTGAAATCTCAGCTGTCCCTGGATGATACATATTTTGAAATTACCCTTTTTCAATCAATTTCTCATATGCAAAATTTTTGACCATTTTTCTACCTTGGCTGGCAGTATTTCTGAGTCAACTTTCTTCCTTTCTATTTCTTGACTAGACTGGAGCAATATGGTGTCAGTGTGAGTCTTCCCTTCCGGGTAAGCAGATCCTTAGATTGGCAGAAGTGGGTAATTTGTGGTAGAAGGGAATTAACATTTCAGCCTTGAATGAAGAGACCCACAGAGAAAGGCACCCAAATTATACCAGCTCCAAGGGAGCAAGTAAAGAAAAGAAGACACAGATAAAAAGAGTAAGGGACAAAGAAAGAGCCTAGGAAAGGTACCGTGAATGACTGTAGAGGAGAGAGCCTGCCCCAGAGCTTGTAAGCACCCAGTAGGTTATTCACCTAAGAACACTTGGTTAGCTGGAGGAGTAGGGGAAGGAAGAGGGAAACAAATACTTTATTTTTTTCTGTCCTCATCCTTGCATTAGGGGGCTGCTTAATTTAAGCAGCCTTGAATTGATGGTCTTTGTAAGAATTTCTAAGTTTACTTTAATGTTTTCAGTAGGTTAAAAACTTATGGCTTCAGATGCTTGAGTTTGTCTTTGTTTTGCACCAGATTTTGCCCTTGTCCTGACACAATTCAAATCCCAAGAGAGATATCAATTGAGACAATTTAAAAATTCACTTCTGGTTTTTACTTATATTTAAATATAATTTCTTAAGAATGTCTTGCTCTTCATCATATTGTCAGATCTCTAAGATTCTAAGGTCTGCTTCATGAGAAGCTAGCAGGTTTCCTTGTTCTTTAGGAAAGGGGAAAGGGCACAGAAAGGAGAACAATTCTTGTTTTCTGTGGTTGCCAGCAGAAGCACCTAGGAACACATCCAAAATGTCAGAGCAGAGAAGGCGCCTCACATTAAGATGACTGGCTCACAACTACCATGAAATGAATTATGTATTTTATTCTGTACTTAAATATTTTTATTAGAATGGCCTTCCCTTTCAGTTGCTTTCAAGTTGGATGGGAAAAGATACTGCTTATGCCAAAGATATAGCAAAAGCCCATTTTGAAGTACCTCAAATTCACACAGGTTTAGTTGTACTGTGGATTAAAGGACGTGCCTTAAATGTACATACACTTACATCTGTATTTGAACATAGATATTTCCACTATAAAATAGAAACCATCCAAACAGCCGAAGGAACCCACATTTGACATCTATTTTTAAATCAGACTTCCAATGAAAGTATGGTTTGCAGATGAAAAGTTTCAATATTAGAATACAGACACAGATAATTGAATTGATTTATAATGACTAAACTAAACCATGGAAATAAGCCCAGTTCACCTATACTCATTAACCTGAGAGTCCAGTCTATTCATTAGTTGTAGTGTGTGATTTAAAGTTGAAAAAGTAAAAAAGATACTGAAGGAGTTAGTATAATGAAATATTCTCTTTGAAATTTGAAAATCTGGTTGTATTCCATAATTAATTTTCCCTGTGAGCTAGGCCTCCAACTTAAAGTCTTCTCAAGGGGATTTTTAAAAACTACCAAATGATAATCTTAAAATTGTTTCAAAAGGCAATTATGTAAAGTCCTCAGTTGATTTATACTTCATTGCCATTAGGAAAAGAAAATTTAAAACTACCCTACTTCCCACATTTTCTTTGAAAAAACTTGTTTAAAAATACAAATATTCAATTTTAAACAAATAGTATATACCGTTTCATTTATATAAATATAAAAATAAATAATTAGGTATCTTTTAGGCTCTAAACAAAAATGGCCATAACTAAAAACAAGTGCAAAAGAAAAAAGCTTTGATGTTATTGTACCTACCTTTAATGTGATACTATAATGTCCAACAAATGTTGCATTTATCCATGATCTTGAATGGGGATCTCCCAGGAATTCTATATGATATTGTTCAACATTGCCATCCAGGTCATAGATCACATATTTCCCTTTAAAAGGATCTGGGCAAAGTATCCCAGGCCAACTTCAAAAGAAAGTATTTTTAATTATTTCAATGCGTTAAGAAAGGCAGAAATCAATGCATCTGTTATAATCATATACCAAACTTTCTCCTTTGAATTTTAATAACTCACAAAACTTAAACATATTGACTTGCATCCTTTAAAAGTAGGATAGTCATTTGATAAAAGTCATCAGTTGTACCTTTGTAGATACAGAAAGCTTTGGTAAAGTCACATATTTAAGATAAACATAAAATACAAGGATAAAGAATTATAAGACAAAAGAATGATTTCTAGGATCTGGAAGAGACATTCAGACACTGCTAACAGGAAAGGTTAAGATTCATGGCAAGTTTGAATCAACTCTAAGCAATAAGAATGCGTAGTAACTCAAATGTTAACTCACTGGCAGAGCTTCTGGTGGGGTAGGAGAGAGCTGGCATTTCCTGAGCCAGGGCTGCCCAAAGGGTACTGATAGCGAAGGCTATGATAACATTGGAGATTCTAACTACTGTGGGACAAGCAGAAATAGAGCCCAGCAGTTCTATATTGCCCCTCCCTGGCCCCACCCCCATCTGCTCCATTGGTAGGAGACCAAATTTATAAAAATTTTTAGTATTGGAAGTAAAATTTATCCTTTAATAAAAATAAACCTTTAGGGGTATATCCTTTTGTGCCACAAACCTCTAGAAATTCTATTAGAAATACGTTTTATCTTTTTCTTTGAGAAAAATAAAATACATACACATTAACTAAGTTTTAACTATTTTACCAATCTTTCTGGCCTCTGACCTACTGTTTGGAATCTAAAGCAGGAAAGGAAGGCAATAAATAAAGTCAGGAAGCGGTAACTAAGGGATGCCAAGTTCTACCTCAGTTTGCAGCTCCCTCGTGAAAAAGAGAGAGTAAGGATCAAATCAGGAGATCCAGGCTCTGGCTCTGCCTTCTACCAGACAAGAGGCCTCAAGCAGGTAATGAGGCCTTGCTGTGACTCTGGTTCCTCAATGTGCTATTACAAAGTTCACACAAATATGTGCTTTATACATTTCTGGTTTTTGACAAATTAAAATATTATAAAGTGCCTTCATTATGAACCAAACTGTGCTCCCCCTCATCAAGTTCATATGTTAAAGTCCTTATAACTCCAGTACCCCAGAATGTGACTTTATTTGGAGATAGTGTCTTTTGGAATACCCAACTGAGTTAAAAGGTGAGCCTGAATCCAACATGACTGGTTTCCTTTTAAAAAGAGAAGATTAGGGATTGCACTGAATGTATAGATTGTTCTAGATAGCATAGACATTTTAACAATATTTGTTTTTCCAATCCAAGAGCATGGAATGCTTTTCCATTTCTTTGTATCTTCCTCAATTTCTTTCATGAGTGTTCTATAGTTTTCTGAGCACCCTACCAAAATATCAACTTTTTTTTCACAGAGCTAGAACAAATAATCTAAAATTTGTACGAAACCAAGAAAAAACCCTGAATAACCAAAGGAATGCTGAAAAGAAAGCCAAAGCTGGAGGCATGACAATTCCAGACTTCAAGCTCTATTACAAAGCTATAATCATCAACACAGTATGGCACTGGTACAAAACAGACACACAGGTCAATGGAACAGAATAGAGAACTCAGAAATGGACCCTCAACTCTAAAGTCACCTAATCTTCAACAAAGCAGGAAAGAATATCCAGTGGAAAAAAAGACAGTCTCCTCAACAAATGGTGTTAGGAAAACTGGACAGCTACATGCAGAAGAATTCATCAAAATCCTAGAGGAGAACACAGGCAGCAACCTCTGTGACTTTGGCCATAGCAACTTCTTGCTAGACACATCTCCAGAGGCAAGGGAAACAAAGGCAAAAATGAACTATTGAGACTTCATCAAGATCAAAAGCTTTTGCACAGCAAAGGAAACAGTGGACAAAAGTAAGACAAAGGAAACAGTGGACAAAAGCAAGACAACCAACAGAATGGGAGAAGGTATTCGCAAATGTCTTATCAGATAAAAGGCTAGTATCCAAAATCTACAAAGAACTTATCAAACTCAACACACAAAGAACAAATCATCCAGTCAAGAAATGGGCAGAAGACATGAACAGACATTTCTGCAAAGAAGACATCCAGATGGCCAACAGAAACATGAAAAAGTGCTCAACATCACTCAGCATCAGGGAAATACAAATCAAAACCACAATGAGAAACCACCTCCTACCAGTAAGAATGGCTAAAATTAACAACTCAGGAAACCAAAGATGTTGGCAAAGATGCAGAGAAAGGGGAACCCTCCTATATTGTTGATGGGAATGCAAGCTGGTGTAGCCACTCTGGAAAACAGTATGGAGGTTCCTCAAAAAGTTGAAAAGTAAAGCTACCCTATGATCCAGCAATTGCACTACTGGGTATTTGCCCTAAAGATACAAATGTAGTGATCCAAAGGGGCACCTGTACCACAATGTTTAGAGTGGTAATGTCCACAATAACCAAACCATGGAAAGAGCCCAGATATCCATAAAAAAGAAAAAAAAAGAAAAAAAAAGCAGTATGTATATACAATGGAATGCTACTCAGCCATCAAAAAAAAAAAAAAAAAAAAAAAAAGGGCGCCTGGGTGGCTCAGTGGGTTAAAGCCTCTGCCTTCAGCTCAGGTCATGATACTAGGGTCCTGGGATCGAGCCCTGCATCAGACTCTCTGCTCAGCAGGGAGCCTGCTTCCTCCTCTCAATCTCTCTGCCTGCCTCTCTGCCTACTTGTGATCTCTATCTGTCAAATAAATAAATAAAATCTTTAAAAAGAATGAAATCTTGCCATTTGCAAGAATGTGGATGAAACTAGAAGGTATTATGCTAACCGAAATAATCAGAGACAGACAGTTATCATATGATCTCACTCATAATGTGGAATGTAAGAAATAAAACAGAGGAGCATAGGGGAAGAGAGGCAAAAATAAAACAAGATGAAATCAGAGAGAGAGACAAACCATAAGAGACTCTTTAGGAAACAAACTGAAGGTTGCTGGAGGAGAGGTGGGTGGAGAATGGGCTGACTGGGTGATGGACATTAAGGAAGGCATGTGATGTAATAAACACTGGGTATTATATAATACTGATGAATCACTGGCCTCTACCTCTGAAACCAATAATACATTATATGTTACTTAATTGAATTTAAGTTAAAAAAATAAAAACTCAATAAAAAGAGATTAGGACACAGACATGCATAGAGAGAAGACCATGTGAAGACACAAGGAGAGAGATGCGTCTACAAGCCAAGAAGAAAGCCCAAGAAGAAATCAACCCTGCTGACAATTTAACCCGAGATTTCTAGCCTCAGAATTGTAAGAGATTAAATTTCGCTATTTTTAAGCTCTTCACTCTGTGACACTTTGTTATGGCAGCCCTAGCAAACTAATCAGATACAGGTATGCAATTATATATAGGTAAGATAATTGGTATAATTGAGAGGTAATTATTTTTTGCCTCATTTAATTATTTAGAAACTAGATAAATTAGATATTTAGATAATTTTAAAACCTAAAGGAAGCATACAGATCATGCTATAAAGAATATGAAATCACAAAAATGCAAAATCCATAAATTACTTGGGTTTGAGGACTATAGATGGTTGATCTTCTAATAAATTATCAATTGATATGAAAGTTACAAAGTTATAAATATAGAAATTTATCTACCATACCATTGTAAAAAAGTTTTTATAGATCATAAATAACACAATCTAAACTAACAAAAATATTTCATGATTAGTATTATTAATGAAAAAGTTTGATTCCAGGAAATTAACAAATCCCAAGTATAGTTGCCAGGAGGGAGTGAGTTGGGTGCACCAGTCACCAGGGAAGGTGGAGTGTGAGAATGGAGCAGATGTCTAGCTGTTCCCTGGATGCTGAACAGAGTTCTTTGGCTCTTGGACCTCTCTGAGTTAGGGAAAGGGAAGGTAGAAGGTCTGCCTGGCATCCCTAGATCATGGAAGAGGAAGGGCTAGAAGATTACAAATTGAGTCAGACTATGTGGAACCCAAAGCCACCTAATATTTTGGAAAATTGATAATGGAAAGTCAAGTAGAGGTTCAGGACCTAAATGAAGATCACTATCTAGATCTAGTTATCAGGCTCACATCACAGTATCATTGTTATTTGGCAACCCTTATTGGGCTTAAAAGTGCTTAAGAGAAGCTTCAACTAGAGTTTATCTTTTAAACCTACATTGGAAATCTACATTTCTGAAGGAACTCGCTCAAAAGAAGACTTCAATAAGCAAACAAATGACTAAAAATGAATGATAGCTGTATTGGAGACTCCTAACTTATTAGAAATCAAGGAACAGTGGGTCCAAAAAACCAAAAAACCCTCAAAACAAAAAAAGAAACAGTGGGTCCTCCAATGGATTAGTAACTCTTTGAAAAGAAACCAAACTGTAATTGTTATATTTGTTGACCACTCTTCTTAAAATGCAAGGGGCTCATGTTTAACACTAGGTTATTTGCACCTCACCAAAATTTTAATATAAAATTATAAGTAGATATAAGTACACCAATTTCATTCAGTATAAAACAATCACAGGATTTCTAACACTTGAGAAGTGAAAGAAAAATATCTTGCCATTATTATGTTTGAGATTTTCTGACACAGATTCTGAGAAAATTTCTTTTACATAAAGCCTACTGGCCCCTAGAGTATTCCATTTAAATTATTACTCTATAAAATAAAATAAAAATTAAAAAAATAAAAGTAAAACTAGAAATGACTCCTAAAAACAATTACATGCCAACAAAAGAAAAAAGCTTCTGTTCATTATTTAAAACATGTCATATTAGACAAAATATTGCATGCTGATTTACAGATGAATTATGAAAAGTGTTGTCAAATGTCCTCATAATTGGGGCACATTAGTATTTCTTCCGGCAGTGTAAAGGAATTGTCTGACTCCTAGTCTGTGTGTTTCAGCTAAAACAGAATGTACCAAACTGCAGGAGAAGCTGAGAGGCAACAGATGCAGAAAACATGA